CACATAATCATCATCGTCGTCTCCACCGCGCACCACCACCTCCACGAAGAGGAGGAAAAAGAGATAGCAAGATCTGGGAGGAGGAGGAGGAGAACTAGAAGGACAAGGAGGACAAGGAGGAGGAGCAAGAGGAGGAAGAGCAGGAGGAGGCGGAGGAAGCACTGATGGACGGACGGAAAAGACGGCGACCAGGAGGAGGACGACGTCCAGGTTGCTGTCCTTGTCGTTCTTGTTGTTGTTGTTGCNNTTGCTGCTGCTGCTGCTGTCGCTGCCTCTGCTGCTGCGGCTGCAGCTGTTTGCTGCTGCTGGGGCTGTGGTCACTGCGGCCCTTATTGCTATTGCTACTGTCTTGTTTCGGTTGTTGCAACCCTATGTGAACTGCTTCTGTTGCTGCATGTTTGAATGCTCGCTGTCTGACAAGCTCTGTCAGCGGAGTCCTCCATTCTGCTGAGCGCCAGCAGTGTCGCCCAGGGTAGCGGCTTCATGCTCAGCGATTCCGCGCTCCTCACAAGCGATGCCGGGTTGATCTCGACGAGTTGTAAACCTTGGTCCAAGTCCCTCGCAGTGCCCACCGCTTTGAGGACCGTCCACAATGATCCGCCCAGAGCGGTCAAGGCGAACACCAGTGTCTGGAAGTCGATGCTCACGAGGTAGAGGACGAAGAGGAAGTATGCAAGGATGCCGACCACGAGCACGGCGTCGAGGATTACGTCATCCGGCAAATCAGTGATGATTATGTTCCACTTCAGGAATGCGTGTACCAGCTGCTTCTTCGCGAGAAGCTGCGACAGGCGCAGGGCAGCTGCAAGTGCCAGGGCGGCGGGGCAGGCCGCGACGATCCACACGGGCGCCTGCCGCGGGGTTTGCGGGAACTAAAGAGGGGAGCTCGGCGTGGCTTCCAGCTCTCTTCTGAAACTACGAGCCTCTTCTTCGGAGGACTTCCGGACCACTGCCAGGGCGCCCGTCTGCAAGGCCATCAAGGAGAGGAGAAAGCCGGCTGCCCAGGAGTAGCTGCTGAGGAAGTTGTGCATCGGGCTCTTCACCTCCGCAAGAATCTGAGGAGGCGCCACGGGCTCCTGCAGCCTCTCTCTGGCCCGGGCCATGTGCAGCATCCAGACAGACACGCCAAGAGTCAAGACGAGGCTTGCCAGCACAGTGCCTCAGCTTCAAGCCCGGGTAAGCCTGAAATCACAGCCGACCCTTAACTAAAGGACAACAATCCCCCACCGCCCAGGCGCCAGCCAGGAGGTCAGGCACGCCCTCCGGGCAGCTCTCCATGGAAATCCTTTTGGGCAAGCGCTTGCAGGATGTCGCAGGAACTTCGGACACTTCCACCTCCAGGAAACATTCCGAGCTGCTTGCATCAGAGTCGCTGCAGTGCCTGCGCTTTCTTCGAGTGGGGAAGTGCCACCAACATGCGTCCCAGCACCTCGCATTTGGGACGAAAGAGGGGCGGAACTTGGTTTGGGGCTCCTGAACTAGTTGTCACTCAGACACCGCCCCAATACCTCTCAGCCTCCATGTCCGGGCCTTCCTCAATCCCAACCCTCGCAACCCTAGGAACCGGCGTTGCAAGTACTCTGCGCTCCTTACCTTCTCCACAAGCAGCCTAGCAGGGACCTGGATCCTGACATCTAACCTCTCCTCTATCAGCACTAGAACCGCAAGAAACACTACTTAGCCGAGCAACACCCAGCGGCCGTTCACCCGTCAGCTTGCAAACGCAATGGGCCTCGTCGCTCCTCACTTGACCCAGAAGTGCAGCGAGGCTATGCTCGCGGCACACAGAAGCCGATCCTCTTTCAACCGGCATGCACTTGTGCATCGATACCTGGCTGCCAAGCGGCTGAGCTGCACAGAGCTTGGCTTTGTCCGACGTCCCAGCACGGATCTTGTTAATGAGGACGGGGTCTACGAAGACTGCCACGAAGGAGCCATTCAGAGGGTCCTTCCAGCAGGACTGAATCGCACGTGATGATGTCTTCCAATCATCAGCCCCTGTCTCTTGCTTGATGCCATGCTGTTTCGAGGGCCTTCGATGCAATTATTTAGGAGGTTTCAAGGAGCCTGCAGGGCGTCAGCCCTTCTCCAGTCCTCCGCATCGATCCAGGGCACGAGGTTGGCAGTGGGGCTGCGATCGGCCAAGGCAGCTGCACAGTCGGTGCTCACAAAGTACCTCGGCGGCCCCACAAAACAGCAAACTGAACACGAACAAAAACATCGAAACCCTAAACCCTAAACCCTAACCTAAACCCTAAACCCTGAACCTTAACTCGTAACCTTCTACAGACCTAAACCGTAAACTTTTTCCCTCAGTCCGAGCTGCTTGGCCTTACCAAGGCTTTTAGCGGCTTCGCCGTGCAGCTCGTAGGAGCCACTGCGGCCAGAAGGCGATGTGCAGGTCTCTGGGCACTCCTGGGAGGTCCTGAGAGCTGTTTACTCTCCCCGTTTCGGACTGCAACAGGTCTGCCGGATCAAAACATACCACACCCTTCTTTCGGCACGTGAAGACTGACAGGGTCTGCTCTTGAGTCTCAGCGGGTGAAGAAGCTTTAGAAAAATGTGCGTGCCGAGCGTCGTAAGCGTGCGGAAGTTCAGGTCTGAGTCGCGAAGGGCTTCAATGCAAGTCAATTCGAGGATCAGGGCAAAATGCCACGAGATCCGATATGGAATCCGTTTTGCAGCCATCTTTCTCTATCCCTATCTGAATGAGCCGAGG